TGTGTGTGTGTGTGTGTGTACCCTATTCTATACTTGATTGTAATCTTGTACCTTTGTTGTTGTACATTGTACATTAAATCTGGCTGAGTTGATGTAATGGAGGTTAAGTTTAAAGATTAGCAGTTACATTTAATTTAACCATAGATATTAGAGAACAATTATTTGGTAGGACAAGAGGCAAATTATGAATGAAATATATTTAAGTTTTTAAGTTATCGTATTTGAAATTCAACATAGGCCTACAACTTATGTTACAGTTTTGGCACTAGTTATGTTGCTTAAAATACGTTTAATTTGATAAAATATTAAATGTTTGTCTGTACTGGTTTTAATAAAGTCTAATAAATAGGCCTATAATATTCTATTTTGTTGTAATTATTGAACGTTGTAAATGGTTGGCGCTGCGGCTATACAATCAGGAAGTTTTAGTTCCGGACTGACATAATGACTTGCTAATCTGTGACGTATTACGAATATCATGACCGAATAAATATACAGGGGTGGATCCAGATATGTCCAAAAGGGATGGGGCGACAATGGGGCCGATGGAGATGACACCACCTTAGGGGGTCCGGGGGCATGACCCCGAGATCTTTTTGTTTTCCAGAGAGCCGAAAATAAGCTCTGCTCAGGCGTTTTAGCTGATCGTTTTTTTTTTCTTTTTCGGTTATCCTTTCCTTTCTTTCTTTTTTTTTTTTTACTTCCCAAAAAGGGGATTTGGGGTGGGGGAATGGTCGTTTTATTTCTCGATATAAATCGTATAAGCCTACTTACTGTATTTAATTCTAAACTTAGTGGGTTCTTAAATTAGTGCGTGAGGCAGTTTCATTGAATTCAATACAAAACAGACCTTCATTGAATCATTATTGTTCTAAATTCATTATCTTAAGCCACCGAATTGATGTAGTAGGTCTATTATTTACTTATCTTACTTTTAATTCATATTAATGTTTTTGAATAAAACAAAACAATTAAAAAATAAACATTCTTCTTTAAATTACCAATTTTAGAAAAATTAAATTCAAATTATTTATATTTTCTCATTTCAAATTGGAATGAAAGAGAAATGATGATTACTACTAATGATTACATGATGATGTATTATTTTAAGAAATGTAAGCTATTATAAGAACGCCATAAAATCGTAATGTTTGCTGCCCTCTATACATTTTGATGATTGTTTTGATTGCCTGCTGCCCTCTATTATATAAAATGAAAGCAATGTAAACAACTAGCATTATATTTCGATATAATTTCTATATTTGTAAAAAACTAAATGCTTCAGATTAACTTCAACATGGTAAGTAATTAGTTTGGGATCCGAGACTAGTTCGTATAGTGTATATACAAATATAGGGCCAGAAAGCTAGGCATGGACATCTTACTTAGGCCCCTGAAAGCCTGAAAATTGATACCTCCACCTGGGCTGGCAGTTGCACTGGGGCACGTGGTTTGGATCGAAGTATGAGTAGCGCCGCCTTCTTGGCTTATAAGGATGACCTCCATCGCTAAGTAATAAATGCGTGTTGAGTATTTAATTGGCGATTAGCATCATTTGTCTACACTGCTGTTCATTTGGCCCTCCCTCGGCCTCACACAGAGGGCCGCCAACCAAGAGGGGAAACTGTAATAACAGGGGCAAGGGTTGGCTGGTGTGGGCCCGCCAAAGGGGAAAACAGTTTTTTTGAGGGGGGGGGGGGTTATCAATCTGGAGGGGCCCATTATTAGGGGACCCATGCCATTATTGAGGGCCCATGAGAATAATTATTATTTTTGAAAAAAATTATGGGAAAAAAATGCAAAGTACCACACCTACAATTAGGGCCTCCTGGTAAGCTTGGGCCCACAGGATCTTGCCCTTCCCCCTCTCGGTGGCCCTGGCCTCACATAATCATTGAGCTCCTCTACCATTTCACTTTAACCCTTTATCCCAAAGAAGAGGAGGCAATGTTTTAATTAACATTCATTGCTCATTTTGTGATCAAACTATGAGATCTTACAGAAAATATCCAAGTTGGGGGTTAACCTGTATACGATATGGCACAGTTTGCAAGATTACCTAATTCTGCTCACTGCCTTTTGGAAATTTTAGTATCTATTATCTTACAACACTGATTACTGCTTTCATCCTGATATATTTCTTTATAAATGTACAAGTTTATGTTTGTTAGACAGGTTTCTACAATTTTTTTAAATTTCATTCTCTTTCCAAGGGAGGAACAATTGTGTGAGGTACCACTCACAAGATACCACTCCACTGATAAGGAGCAATGGTGCCAAGATACCACACCACTATTACCACAAAACTGATGAGGACCAATCGTGCAAGGTACCACTCCACTGGTGAGGAGCAATGGTGCAAGATACCACACCGCTGATGAGGACCAATGGTGCAAGATACCATACCACTGGTGAGGACCAATGGTGCAAGATACCACACCATGGAGGACCAATGGTGCTTGATACCACACCACTCATGATAATAGGCATTCGGTTTCCATGCAGTTTGAGTTGAGTCATTGAAATAAAAGTCTTAGAATGTAAACTGAAACTGAACATTTCCAGAAATCCTAAACTTATCGAAAGCACAATGAAGATTTTTAAAATATCATTTAATTATGTTAATTCTTTGCTTTTTTTCTGGCATAAAACAATTGTAAACAAATTCTGAATAGTAGGAAATGTTCAATTCAATTTTCATTCTATGCTTGTTGTGAATTTTTCATTTCATGGGAAATTTATTCAATCAACAATATGAAAATTGAGAAAGTTGGTATAATTATGTCGTTATATTTTTGGAAAAAATTTCATTTTCATTGAGACAAATATTAATTCAGAATTCTTTATTGTTACAAAATTGATAGTTCTCTTAAAATTCATGTGGCATGACTTACATTAATTCAATGAAATGTTTACTTCTAATATCCCCATGTTAAACAAATCTTCTGCTACACAATGTGAATGATACTCCTCCATTTTCATATGTTGTTAAAATCTAGAATAAGTTGTGTTTTTTTTAAGAAAGTGTTGATGATTAAATAGGTGTTAACTGTAAATTTGTAAATTTATCTGAAGCACTGTTAAATTTTTTATTCAAAATTAAATTTGGGAAAATTATATA